TATTATTATTATTATCAACACGCTCTGATGCTAAGGAGTTCTTCTCCCCCTCCCCACCTGAAAAGAAATCTGTTCCAAATGCAAAAGACAAGCAGAGGAGAGGAGGTTCAGTTTCAGTTTCACAGCCCCAAGCAGTTTTAGTGCAGAACACGTCCAGGTTCCTTGCTGTCTCCTTCTTGCTCGCACAGCAAATGCTGTTTCAGTTTCCAAACAGCCCTCAACACACTAACAGGACGCTAGCCAGATGAATACCGATGGATGCTGACAGGCAGCGGCAGAATTTTTCCCCCTTATTTTCCTCCTCCAAAATTAAGCCCCACCACATAGTTTCATAGTGAAGCGCAGGTATCGAGCTAATATTGTAATATAATCATTAATGCTAGAAAGCAAGACCTAAGTTCGAAGGAACCCAAAAAAAGGAGCATTTTTCTTGTTGGATCTGAAACAACTTTGGATTTGTGCTCCAGATCAAGAAATCTTCTGCTACAAATCATTTGAGAGCTGGTTGCTTTTTTTTAAAAAAAAAAAATGGGAATCAGTTGTTTGTTTAAACCGTGGTTTCGAAAGAAGCCTAGCTAAGACATCACAGTTTGATGGGAGTTTGTTCCTAGCAGTTTAACGTGAGCTTTATTAGATTCCGGTGGAATGCAGAGTGTTGATCAAAAAAGGCTCCGTATGACCTGGAGGGTCCAGAAATAATATTTACCCTTCTTTTGCTTTTAATTCTTTTCTCCCAATGTCGATCCAGGTCTTTGGCCTGAAGAGTGGTACGAGGGTGTTTGCGAGATCGCCACCAAGTCCCCTCTCCTGACTTTCCCGACCAAAGAGCCCCTTCGTTCTGTCCTTCAGTATAACTCTGCCATGAAAAACGACACCGTCACTTCTGTGAGTCCCTTCTCTTCCTTTCCCCCTTTCTTCACCCAGTTCTTCACACGCGAACAAACGCGGATAAAAACATAACTATTGCGGGCAACTCAGATAGATAGACAGATAGACAGTCAGAGACAGAAAGTAAGAGAGAGAAAAAGAGAAAGATAGATAATAGGCAGGCAGGCAGAGACAGAGAAATAGATAAGTAGATATAGATGATGATAGATAGATGATAGATAGATAGATAGATAGATAGATAGATAGATAGATAGATAGACAGACAGATGATAGATAGATAGATAGATGATAGATAGATAGACAGATGATAGATAGATAGACAGATGATAGATAGATAGATAGATAGATAGATAGATAGATAGATAGATAGATAGATAGATAGATAGATAGATGATAGATAGATAGATAGATGATAGATAGATAGATAGATAGATAGATAGATAGATAGATAGATAGATGCAAAGGAAAAAGAAAGAGAAATATAGTTAATAGGCAGGCAGAGACAGAGAGATAGGTAAATATAGATGATAGATATAGATAATAGACAGACAGAAAAAGAAAGAAAAAGAAAGATATTGATAATAGGTAGGCACAGAGAGAGAGAGAGAGAGATTAGATAGATAGATAGATAGACAGACAGACAGACAAAGAGAAAGAGAGATATAGATAATTGGCAGGCAGAGACAGATAGATAGAGATAGATAGACAGACAGACAGACAGACAAAGTAAAGAAAGAGAAAAGAAAGAAAAAGAGAGAAAAGAAAGAAAGAAAATAATTACAATTAGTGCTCCAAGCTAAGCATTCCAGGGAGATTCTTCATTTTGATTAACAGCCTTTATCCCGCCCTGCATTGAGTTGGATTACCCAGCATCAGCATTCTTGCTCCTCGCCACTTCTAAGCCTCCTGGTGCAGTTGTTTGTCTTCTCCCTGGGATCTGCTTTTCAAATATTTGAGTACCGTCCTTGGGTCGCCCAATGCTTTGATGTTCCTCTCGTCAAGCCCTCGTTGTTTGAAAGAGAGAAGCGTTGCCTTCCTGCCGCACTGATTCAACCCCCGCTTCTCAGCAAGCCTCATTGGGCACCATGGAGTTTACTTATTTCTCTTTATTTATTTCATTTGTAAAATGGATCTTAACCCCGTGGTAGCTCTGGACAGCTCACTTGTGGGTAGATGGAGAGAGTTTTGCACTTGTCAAAGACATGGACAGCTTTAAGGGGCTAATAGATGACCTCTTGCCAGAAGCAGCTACCTCAACGAGTTGTTTCTTTATTTACTTAGTTATTCCTATTTTTTTATTTCCTTTAGGCTGAACTGAATGAATTGAGGAGCACCATCATAAATCTTCTGGATCCACCTCCTGAAGTGTCAGCCCTGATCAACAAGCTGGATTTCGCCATGTCTACCTACCTGCTTTCCGTCTATCGCCTAGAATGCATGAGGTATTGCTATGACATGCCGCCTCAGGGGTGGCGGAGATGCTCGGTGCACCTTACATCACTCACCTGGGGCAAGAGGGGAAGAAATATTTATGCTCGTGCAACTCTACGTCAAGGAAGAGCAGGCTGGTTTCAACCTCCCCAAAGTCGCAGTGTTCCTTTTGAGTTAGAGCAGTGTCCCATTTCAGCCGTGGTACAGGTGGTCCTTGACTTACGACCACAGTTGAGCCCAAAATTTCCATTGCTAAGCGGGACAGTTAAGTGAGTTTTGCCTCATTTTACAACCTTTCTTGCCTCAGTTGTTCAGTGAATCATGGCAGTTGTTAAGTTAGTAAAACGATTGTTAAGAGAGAGATGATAGATTAGAGAGAGAGGGAGAGGGAGATGGCAATAGCATTTAGACTGATATATCGATGGATGTGTGTATGTAGATAGATGGAGGTAGGTAGATAGGTAGGTAGATGTAGATAGTTGATAGATACGATGGATGGATGGATGGATGGATGGAT